TAGGCATTGGAGTTAGGGGGGAGGCATAGGCATGGGCATAGGCATAACCATGCGAAAATTAAAGATGGGGCGGGGGGGGGCATAGGAATTAGGGGGGGGGGGAACGGACCAATGAGTAGGGTTTGACCTAGGACTCTTATAGGGCGCGAGTGTCGAAATCGTTCGAACGCCCTTGCGCGCGTGCTGGGGTGGCTCGATCAGTGTCAAATGCCATGTGAGCCACTCTCGCGCGTCTGCCGCGCGCGCGCATTTCGAATTCCTTCCGGAACCTTCGCCGCCGACGCGAAGACGCCGTCATCGTCGTCGGCGTGATCGGCATCGGCGCCGCCACTGGCTGCCCCGTCGTCGCTGTCAGCATCGTCGCCAACATCGCTACTATCATCATCGTGTCTACCGTTGTCGACGTTGCCATGACACCGCGCCCGCCCAAGTCACCGACTCGCACTGAAGTGCCCGCTGGGATGTGCCGAGCGGTCAGCGCCACCGCGCTCGCGCCGCTCGCGCCAAACTAGCTGGCCGCTGCGCGCGCGAGCATGCGCGGGCTCGCGCGGCCGCAGAGATGCAGCCAACGCCAAACACTCATCGCAATCGCTTCCGCATGGGGTTTGCAAACCGAGTTGCGGGTTGGTAGGTGGGATGTTTGCGCGAGCAGTGGGGTGGGCAACTTCAAGTTGAGCATCGGTGAATTCTCTTTTCTTAAAAAGAATGCCCCCCCCCCCCCCCACACGCCCCGGAAATAACGGGCCCCCTTTTTCGCATTGCAATTTACATATGATTCTGCCCCATCGTCCATCCTAAATATGAATTCATACTATCCCAGCCAAGCCGGTATCAGTCCCCCCGCCATCCTCTGCAAAAAATGCGATGTGCGCGCGCTCGTTAATCAAAATCATAAGTTGTCAAGAGTCCCTTGCAAATACCCCGAAGTCATCGCGCGCGCATCCATGTCAAAGTCGTACCAAACACAGTGTGTTTGCAAGCGTTTCAGCATAACAACCTAAAGCAGAACAGCGTTTTTGCCGCACTTTTTGTGCAAATTTCCGGTCCGCGCGCTCATGCTCTACAATCGTGCAAGAACCATGGGGCTCTAAGAATTCTGCCAAATCCAGCGATTTCACGTCGCCGCGCGGTGTGCCCGCGATGCTCCTGTCATGCGCCGAGGGCGCGAATCCCCTGCAAAAACCAAAAAAACACCACGCGGGCCGCATGCGCGTGCCGCCGCGCGCGCATCGCATGATTAATCTGACGGATTTGTTGAACTTCCGCGCGCGCGCGGATTTCCTTTTCAGCCTTGTCAGCATGTCTGCAATCACCTGCCTCATCGGCAGATGGACATCAGCATCGTCAGCGTGTTTGTCATCATTGGCGCCGTTCGCGTTCGTGCCGTCGCCCTCTTGAACATCGTCGTCGCTGGTGCCAGCTTCGTCATTGTCGCAGACGTTGCCGAAGTCATCTTGTCATCGCGCACGCCCGAGTATCGTCGATCTGCTCACCTTCATCATCGAGTCACGGTGACGAGCATCGGCAATGAGGATGTTATCATCGATGTCGTCATAGGTGGCGCCGCCGTCCCCCGCATCATGCGTTTTGCCAAACAAGTTGCGGGTGGGAAGGTGGGGTGTTTGCGCGAGCGGTGGAGGCGGTCAAGCGCGGTGCAGGGTAGTCAGCTGCACCACTTTATTCTCCTTTCTACAAAGAGAATAGACTCTACCCCCCCCAGACTTATCGGTACCCCCTGGGATATTATGATTTCACATATATACAGATATATAAATATATTCTGCACACTCGTCCATCCTAAATATGAAATCGTATCATCCCAGCCAAACCGGGTTCCCCCCCTGATGTTCCCTTATAAAAAACACTATGCGGTGACATTTTTTGTTCTAGCATCGCACTTTTTCGCGAATCCCTTGCAACAGATGGGACGAAGTGCGCACGCGCGCGTCGTCGCGCGCGCATGCCGAAATCCTTCAAAAACCTTCGGAGACGGAAGGATTTCGCAATCGAGTTTCCAAACGACATACAAAACACATGGTTTCGCAACACTGATTTGCTAAAAAAGCTTCCGCGCGAGCTCTTGCGAAATCTTAAGAAAACCATGCGTTTTTCAAGATTTTCACAAAATGCTACCAAATGGGCTTCGCGCGCGCGCATGTCGAAATCTGTCGAACGCCCTTGCGCGTGTGCCGTCGCGAGAATCCTCTGCAAAAAAAGGGACGAAGTGCACACGCACGCGTCGTCGCGGGCGTATGCAGAAATCCTTCAAAAACCTTCGGTGCCGGAAGGATGTCGCAATCGAGTTTCCAAACAACATACAAAAACACATGGTTTCGCAACACTGATTTGCTAAAAAAGCTTCCGCGCGAGCTGTTGCGAAATCTTAAGAAAACCATGCGTTTTTCAAGATTTTCACAAAATGCTACCAAATGGGCTTCGCGCGCGCATGTCGAAATCTGTCGAACGCCCTTGCGCGTGTGCCGTCGCGAGAATCCTCTGCAAAAAAAGGGACGAAGTGCAGACGCGCGCGTCGTCGCGGGCGTATGCCGAAAACCTTCAAAACCCATCGGTTTCGGAAGGATTTCAAAATCGCGCGTCCAAAAAACTTACAAAAACCTAAGGTTTCGCAATACGGATTTTCAACCAAAGCGTGCGCGCGCGCCCTTGCGTCGTCGTCGTCGTCGTCGTCGTCGTCGCCGTCCTCCCTCCTCCCGCGTCGTCGTCGTCGTCGTCGTCGTCGTCGCCTACGTCGTCCTCTGTCTTTTCTCGTGTTCGTCGTCGTCGTCCTCTTTGGCATCGTGGTCGTTTCCGTCGTCGTTATCGCCGTGGTCGTCCTTCCTCCTCCTCCCACGTCGTCGTCGTCGTCCGTCGTCGGCGTCTCGTCGTCGTCCCTCCTATTTCGTCGCCGTCGTCGTCGTCGTTGTCGTCGTCGTCTTCCCTCCTCCCTCGTCGTTGTCGTCGTCGGCGTCGCCGTCTTTCCTCCTTTGTCGTCGTTCGCGTCGTCGCCGTCCTCCCTCCTCCCTCGTCGTTGTCGTCGTTGTCGTCGTTGTCGCCGGCGTCGTCCTTCCTCCTCCCTCGTCGTCGCCTTCGTTGGCGTCGTCGTCGTCGTCTTCGTCGTCGTCGGCGTCGGCGTCGTTGTCGTCGTCGAAGTCGTCGGAGACGTCGTCGGTGTCGTCCTAGTCGTTGTCGTCGGTGTCGTCGTAGTCGGTCTTAGGAGGTTTTGCAAACCAAGTTGCGGGTGGGTGGGTGGGATGTTTGCGCGAGCAGTGGAGATGACGACTTCAAGTTCAGCAGAGTGGGACTGTACCCCATAGATTACACAACACATGTTAAACCGCATCGATTACAACACATGGGTTGCACAACATATCTTGGACCACGTAGAATGCACAACACATACTGCACCACATAAGAGTACAACACATAGGTTGCACAACATAGATTGCACAACTTATATTGTACCACGTAGACTGCACAACGCCGACTGCTAGACACATACTGTTTGGGGTCCACGCTGGCTAACGGCTTGTTCTGACATGACGACCAATCTTTGCCGTGCAGTCAACGAATGCACTCGGACACGCCAGTCAGCGCACGAGGCGCCCACGAGGAGCCCACGAGGCGCCCATAGGCGGCGACCTGACGAACACCCGCAAACGCCAGCCAGCGCACGAGGCGCCCATGGAGCGCCCACGAGGCGGCGACCGGGCAGAAACGCGCAAACGCCAACCCGCGCACGAAACGCACGCCAGCCAGCGTACGACGCGCCCACCGGGCGCCCACGGGCGTCGACTGGGCGAACACCCGCAAACGCCAGCCACCGCACGAAACGCCCACGAACCACCCACGGGCGGCGACCGAGCGAACACCCGCAAACGCCAGCAAGTGCACGAGGCGCCCCCAACAGGCGGGCCCCGGCCGAAAACCGGGCATGACCACCCAGCGAACGGTGCGCCCACGAGGCGCCCATGGCGGGGCACCAGCCGAACCCCTGGTATATCCACCCAACTACATGGCAACACGACCAAGACGCTCCAAGTGCAAGTGCTGCGTGGACAACAGGTGTCTTGAGAGGACGAATGAGGGGGGAGGGGGGTGGGATGAGGTTTTCGAAAACGTTCCAGGTGGGTCTTATGGTGCCCTTGGGGAGGATAAGGAGGAAATGCAAGCAGGAGCAGGGGAAGGCCCTCCCCCCAACAAGGAGGGCGGAAGAGAGATTCCGTACATGCACATCCAATGTGCGGAGCGCGCGGCCGGCAAGTGAGAACCCACCCCAGGATCGCTTCAATGAGGGGCAACATTAGGTGGGGACTGGCTCAGGAGGTGATGAAATATCGACCTGGAATCGGCGGTACATCGTCGATAGATCGGCGATCGGCCCCCGATAGCGAATCCGCACGGTCCTGGGCAGGGTGAGCGTCGGGCCCCTACTGTGCCCTCGTATCGGCGATCAACGGGCGACTGGGGGTCGAGGCGCCTCCCGCTGAGCCGATTCCCGCCTGACGTTGCCCCTGACTCAAAGCGGGCGGCGCAGTGAAGCGAGGGAGGCGCCCAACAGACGCGGCGGAGCCTCCATCTCGGCCCAGCGAGCGCCTGCGACGCTCTGCCTTGCATGCCCGCAGGAGGACGAAGGCAGCCGACGGCCTGCGAGACGCAAGTTTTTCCATCGCACGCAAAGCCCGCCCGCACTACACGCTCAAGGCCCGGAAGAGGAAACAAGTGTACGACTTTCAGCTTTCGGAGATCTGCGCGGACTCCTCGGATCGGCGCCAAGCCCCCTCCGCGCGCCAGGGAGGGGGTCCGGCGACGACCCAGGAAATCCGCGCGGACCTCCTAAGGTTGATGGTCATGCGTTCGTGCGTTTCTTCTTCCTCGGCAGTCGCCACCAGCCAGCCACCATAGTGCCTGCTAAACAATGTAGTGGCCAGAACAGCATATGGCGAGCGCCCTCGCGGGACGCGAGGACCGAGAGGAGCGAGGGCTGCCGCGAACAAGTGGTCAGTCGAACTCCTGCCGGATCTTCATCCAAGACTCGGGCTTCCACATCCGGCCGGAGTGGTCCTCGCCGGACTGGCCCTTCGCTCGCTTGAGCCTCGTCTTGTCCTTCACCTGGAAGAAACTTGGCGGGCGAATGACGGTATAAAGGAAGCCTTTTCGACGTCGGGGACGCCTGCCCCATGGCGGCTGGAAAGTTTACACCCCGACGTGCCACTGTAGGGGTTCCAGCTGCCCTGGGGCAGGCGTCCCCGACGGCGGAACAGCTTATCTTATACCGCTCTTCGTCCACTGAGACACAGACGCGCCAACATAAGACATACGAACTTTCTGAGGTCCGCGCGGGATCTCTGGGGTGGGCGCTTGACCCGCACTCTGGGAGCACGGTGCGCGCCAGGGGCGGCGCCAGAGGCGCCGCCAGGGGGGAGCCAGCGCCGTCCCGAGAAGCCCGCGCGGACTTGCGAGAGCTGACCAGGGCCAGAAAGATGTCATGATGCGATTTTCCCAGGTCTGGAGCATCCAGGGGCCCCTCGTCTCTGGAGCCCGCGCGGAACAAGCGGTGTTTTCCGTCGCGGCGCTGGCTTGCGTTAACTGATTATCGCGTCTGCGAGGTCGTATGGGATCGCGGACGTCCGGCCATGATAGCGCACAGACCAATCAGCAACAAAACTGGGCAGCAGGCGTGAGGAACGCATGGCAAAACCCCAGGCTTAGTGACTGATTTGTGCTGACTGGTTAGCGCGTTGATGATTTTCCTCCGTCAATTCGGATCCTATTGGAAACGCCTGGTGCCAGGGCTACGGTTCCAGGGTGCCAGACGCTTTATATCTTTCCACCAGATGAGAGGGGCGTCCTCAATTGCTTCCTGGGGTTAACCTAAGGCTCGAGCCCCAGTCCTACACTCTACCCCGCTGAACCCTCGCCCTAACTCCCGACCTCTCCTGGGGGGCTGGGGGGGATAGCGTGAGCCGAAAGGGGCCAGGATGAAACGGACGAGAGCCGAAACGGGCCAGGACGAAACGGGCCGAAGCCGAAAGAGACAGATGAAGCCGAAACGGGCTGGAGCCGAAACGGGCCGAGGCCGAAAACGGCCTCTTCCCTGGGGGGGGGCTGGGGGGGGGGGTACAGGCAAAAATGATTGTATGGATGCGCGATAAGGATGTAAGCCCCTTGGACGCCCATGTTGAAGCTTTTCAAGCGCGGCGGGCCATCGAAAGTATTCCAGGACGGACCACAGAGGCACGGATGCAAGGGCACCCTTGGGACAACTACCCATCCTTACCGTCGGCCTTCCTTCGCCGCTTCACCGACATCTTGCCCTTCTCGCCCTTGCCGCCGCCCTTGGCGGCTGGCGCGGCGCCCCCAGCGGCCGGCGCGTCGTCCGCCTCCGCGGCCCGCTTCTTGGGCGGCCCGCCGGCCGCCTCGCCGGGGATGAGCGCGGCCTTGGCCTCCTCGTCCCGGGGGGCGCCAACTGCCCAGACCCCCACGCGCCGTGACAGAAATCGACGGACGGCTCTTCGCCGTCTTCGGCTCCTGGGGGCCCTCACTGGGCCTGGGAACCATCAGCGAACGACTCAGAGGGGAGTGGTCGAGACCTCTGGGGGTCGACATTGTCAAAACACATGACGTCGGGAGTCTGGGTGTGCACACCCGGCGGCTCGAGAAACATCGAGTCGGCTTTTTTTTTTTTTTCTTTTCCATTTTGCGCCCTCGGAGGGCCGTGCCGTCGTCAGAAAACGGCCCGGGATGAAGAAGCCAGCCCGTGGGAAGCGGTAGAGAGGTCTGGGGGCCCACGCCTCGACAACATCGACATGCCGAGAGGTCTGGGTGCACCGACCCTGGCAGAAAAGCCCATCCCATGCCGAGGCTCGCTGTGTGCGCCCTCCTGGCCTGGTGGGTGGGGCGTGCTCGCCGCTCCTCGGCCCGGCATCGGCCCGGCCAGCATCGGCACACAAGTGTAGAGTTGGCGCCCTCTCCGGCTCCTGGCCGGGCTGCCACCCGCTCTTCCTCATGCTGGAGGCCGAGGCCGCCATGATGCGGTCGAGGCTCACGGCCCGGAGGGGAGAAGGCGGCACAGGCATGAGCTCTCGGAGGTCCGCGCGGGCCTTCTTGGGGCGGCGCCAGCCGCCCAGCGCCGACCCGATGCGTCCTCGTGGGCCTCTGACAAATTCATGCCTATGCCGCCTTGGGCTCTCCGGATGGCGTGATCCTTGAATCGGCGCTGCTTCTCCTTTTGGCGGCGACCACGGGGTGGAAGTGAGGAGGATAAGGCCTCCTCGGAAGGCTCGGAAGTCCCCCGGCCTTCTGAGAAGTTGTCTAAGCCTTCCCCGAAGACACAGAAAACCTCTCAGAAGGCGCGATGGCTTCTGAGAAGTCCCGCCGCCTTCTGAGAAGGCCTTCTCCTTCTCATTTTCCCCCCTCGCCCGTCGCCGATCCTTGTCCTTTGCAAACTTCTTGAAGCCCAACTCGGCCTCGCCCATCTTCGCAAAGGCCGTGCCAGCAGAGGGCAGCACCCCGCCGCCAGTGCCCTCGTCCTCCTCGCTCTCCTCGTCCTCCTCGCCATCGTCGTCCTAGCAGGATCAGCCAGCATCGTTCGTTCGTGTGTTCGCAAACTGTGTCGCTCGATACGCCTGCTCGGTACGGGAAGTAAAACATGCCAGCCGCGCAGGATGAGCAGGCACTATGAGATCAGATGATACACATCAACATCTTTGGGGTAAATGAACAACAAAAGTGGTCAATAATAATTGCTTTCCAAATTGGCTTCGAACCAGGAAACCGGATCGAATCAACATGTGCGTCGCATCGGCCGCATCGGCGCAGAGTCGGGACCGGATCGGATCGGCCGCGCCAGGATCCAGAGCAACGCCACACAAGCATCGGGCCGCATCGTGTCGTCGGACTGTCGGAGCTGGATCGGGTCGGGCCTGCCAGAGCCGATATCGGATCGGATCGACCGGATTGAGGTGGAGCCTGTCCTGGTTCTCTTCGTTGTGGCGTGGTCGATTGGCTACCTCGTGGGCCAGCGGGGCCCAAACGCCACCATAATATGTGCAGCTGGTCCCTGTCGCGTCGACACAGACGCTGGTTTCCGACACCGCTCAGATCGTTCCATGCTGAGCGGTCTCCGTCGCACGACTAGACAAGCGCGTTCCACCACTCGCGAAGTATTTGCTGGCAAATGGCCTGGATCCGCCGAGGGGGATTTACGATCTAGTACATAAAGGAAAACATGTTTTTTCGGACGTTTGCGAGTGAACACTTAGCGAGTAGTGGAACCCTCTCGGTGAACGACGGCGGAGGCCGTGCAAAGGTCGGCCTGGTTCGGGCCGCCGATGGCCTTGAACCTCGAGTGCCCACGCCAGCGTCGCCGCCGCGAAGACGCGGCGCGAACATGCCGTAGCTTGCTGAAGGCAAGCAAAGTCAGCAGAAATCGACAGAATCTGGGCGATCTTGGTCGGTCTGTAGCACCTGCACGGCTCTATCAGGCTATTCCTGCCCCCCTCGTGGATACCTCCAGCAGAAACGGGGGCCGAGGGGGGGCCCTCAGATTGCATCGCGTCGGCGCGTCGGCGACGCATCGGCGATGCACTGCTATCTGGGGACCCGGATCAAAAAAACTCGGGGCCAGCCCGATGCGCGGAGCGCGGCCATCCTCCGCCCATGCGCCGCTCCCACGGGCAACTCTCCGGCCAAGACCGCCGTGCGCGAAAGGACGATCGCTCCCAAATCCGTTCGAACTCGACCCCCGAAACCCCTCCGCGAGTCGTCCTGGCCAGCTTCTCGAGCCGCGTCCGGCCGTGGCCACGAGGCCCCCCCCCCCGGGAAGCCCCGAAAGGAGCGCTGCCCGAGAAACCGCCAGGCTTCTCTGGTCAGAGCGAGCCTCGGCCACGCGCAGGCTTCCCGACCCAGACCGGAGGCACTTCCCGACGAGCAGAGCCCCTCCCGAGCTCAGACTCGTCCTCGCTCCAGCGTTTTGACAGACGAGCCCGGCGCGACCACGAGCAGAGGACAGCTTCTCCCAACCGAGTGGCTAAGCAGGGGAGGTATTGCTTGCCATTGCATTGCTGGGCGTTGCTAGGATTTGCTCGGCGTTGCCTGGCAAACTTTGGGATTGCTGGCATTGCTTGGCATTGCGAGGCGTTGCATGGCATTGCTAAGCATTACTTGGCACTGCTGTAACTGATTGGGCAAGAACCAAGACTAACGAGCCCGTGGAAGGCAGCAAATAACCAAGACAAATGAACCCGTTGAAGGCAGCAAGGAACCAAGACCGAGGAACTCAGGGAAGGTAAGGACACAAGACCAAGGAACCCGAGGAAGACAGCAAGGAACCAAGACCAATGAACCCGAGGAGTGCACCACAGAACCAAGACCAAGGAACCCGAGGCTCGCCGGTGGCCACTGTATGGAAATAATACCAAGGAGCCCTGAGCAACGCCACTACAAGGAAACAAGGCCACAGAACCCCGAGCAACGCCAGCTGGAGCAAGCCTCGCATCCACGGGTTATTTATGAACAAACAAGGACCCCTCAGGCAAGCCGGGGAAACATCTCAGATCTTCGTGGCTGTCTCGGCGCGAAACCCAGGACTGGCGAGGCCCAGACCCATGTCCCTAGGTAAGCTGGGCAGCACTTGGTTCTTGCCTCTGAGTGCCGCGCTTGTGTGCCTATGCGCCGCTTGGCTTTTCAAGGGTAAGGCCGCTCGGTGCGCGGCACCGCGATTGTGGACATGTCCGTCTTATGTCTCACCGTTTTCTGTTCCGGACCTGGGTCTTTGGACCCACGCTTAGGTCGGGCATGTCCTCCTACAGGCGGGTTTTGGAAGAAAACATAATCAACAAGTGAGCAAAGATAGCAGCAAGAGCACGACAAGTCGTCACCTGACTTTTTTGTACTATTCTTGAGGATTCCTCCTGCAGAGGCACATGCCGGACCTAAACCCAAGCCAATCCACGCTGCGCTCCTCTGTGAGGCCCGACCGAAGTCCGCTCAAAGCCGGTCCGTGGACCCCTCCCAGGGCCCACCCGAGCGATTTGTTTCGTTATTCTGGGTCGATTCTTGACGACTTCGGGGCCCGAACCGGGCCCCCCGAGGCCGAACTCGAGGAGCACCTTCTGAACGTCGAAGATGTAAGGAAAAACGCCCTCCCCGCAGTGTCCAGAAGCCCCCCGGCGGTCCGCGGGGGTCCCCAGAGGCCCTCGGACGCCCCAGACGAGACCGACGAGTCCATCGAGGAGGATCGGAGACCGAGCGTCGAGGATCGGAGAGGATCGAGGATCGGAGAGCCTCTCGGGGATCGAGTGTCGGAGGGCCCAGGAACACACCTGGCGGCCAGCCGACCGCGGTCCTTGTCCGCGGCCGCGTCGCCGCCCTGGGCCTCTCGGGGCCGGGTGACAAAGGGGAGGTGGCAGCGAGTCGCAGGAAGACAGGCAGCTGCCGCTACATCTGATGGAAACGGACCCCTGTCAACAGATTGCCCCAGCCAGCCCACCCGCCAACCCTGGCCAACCGTCCAACCAACCTCGGCCAACCCGCTTGGGCACATTTCCAGGCCAAGCATGGCTAGAGTCGTCTTTTTTTCATGGCCTATCGTGCATCAAAATCAAGTTGCAAGGTTCGCGCGACTATTTCGTGGATCGGCGCGGACCTTCGACAATTCTCTAAACAGTGCTTGTTCTTTGGGGTTCAATTTCCTGCGTAGGTTTGAAGTCATTGTATGGGCCCGTCGGAGTTTCACCATACTGCCGCCGGTGAACGCTACGTGGGCGCACCATGCCTGAGATGGGTCTGTCGAGGTTACGCCACGGTGCCGCCCGTGGCCGCACGTGGGCACACCATGCCGGGTCTGTCGAGGTTTCGCTGCGTTGCCGTCCGTTGCCGCGCGTGGGCGCTTCGTGGGCGCACCGTGGTCTGGATGGGTCCGTCGAGGTCTCGCCACGTCGCCGCCCACTGCCGCCCGTGGGCGCACCACGCCCTGAACGGGTCTGCCGAGGTCTGCCGAAACACCTGGGTCAGTGGGTGGGTCCGTCGAGGTTTCGCCACGTTGCCGTCTGCGGCCGCCTCGCGGGCACCCCGTGCGCTGGGTGGGTCTGTCGAGGTGTCGCCACGCTGCCGCCTGCGGCTGCCCCCGTGGGCGCCCCCGTGCGCTGGGTGGGTCGGCGGAGGCGTCGCCACGTCTCAGCTCGTGCTCGCCCGTGGGCGCCCCGTGCGCACGGGTGGGTTCGTCGAGGGTTCGCCACGTTGCCGCTCGTGGCCGCCCGTGGGCGCCGCGTAGTTGACATCACACAGCTGGCATGTCCTAGCCTGGATTCGCACAGCTTGCACAACATAGCTTGTAGCACGTAGTTTGCAACACCTAGCCAACACCACGTACTTTGCACCACTTAACTAATTCACAATATATCGCTTACACCACACAGATGGTGCCGCTTCGTTTACACCACATGGCTGACACCAGATACAATGCAACTCATTGCTTACACCGCCTGGGTTGCACCACGTCGCTGGCACACATATAGAGACACACCTATATATATATATATATATATATATATATATATATATATATATTGCACCACGTATGTTGCCCACTATAGCAGAGCTTCTTGCACCACATAACTTCGGCCACATCGCTTACACCAGATAGCTCGCACCACATCGTTTACACAATATATCTTGCACCGCGTAGCTTACGCCGCATAGCTTATACCGCATAGCTTAAACCACAAGGCTGACACCACATAATTTACACCGCATATATTGTATCACGTATGCTGCGTCACATAGTTTGGACCACGTGGTTTGCACGACACGACTTGCACCACACAGCTCAGCAACACAAAGCCTACACCACATATCACACCACACAGAGTGCACCATGTAGCTGTCACAACCACAATGCATGAGTCTACTGTTGGGGCTCGACGGTTGCGAACATTACGTTTACGAGGGCTTCTCATCTTCGACAGCAGAAGCGTGCTGATGGCTCCCCCGGCACCAACATCGGCCGTACATCGAGGAACGAGCCAACGGCGGGGCAGAAACCGGGTGCATGCAAACATTCTCGTGCTCCCCCATTCGGAAACCCAGACTAAGGGCCTCCTAGATGGGGTCGGAGTAGATGGGGTCGGAAGATCGCGCCGCATCGTCGCTACATCGGCGATGCATCGGCGATGCGTCGGAATGCGCCAGCAGCGATGCATCGTCGACGTCGGCGATGCATCGGCGACGTCGACGTGAAGCAAATCGAGCCCCGCTTCGAGCCGCATCGGCGATGCGGCGTGATCCTCCGACCCCATCTACTCCGACCCCATCTTGGAGGCCTAGACAGACGTCCCTGTCCTGCTTCTACCACCGCGCGCCCTGCTGTGCTGCGAGTGCGCGCGCGGTCTTTCCCTCCCCCGTCCCGTCAGCCCAACATGCCCCGCCCCGCCCTGCCCAAAGCCAGGGCAAGCTAGATTGCGGGGCGCCAAGCGCCCGAGGCTTTCCGCAGAGCTGGCTTCTCGTTCTGGCATTTTTTGTTGACGGACCCCAGGCCCCAAACCGGCCTCTCGGAGGCCGAAGGTGACGAAGAACCGCCGGTTTTGTTTGTTTCCAGAAGGTTGGGTATCTGGGCTGCCTGGTCCGAAGGTCGACCTCCAAACGTTCCGACCAGAATCTCGAGGCGACTCCAACCGTGGTGACGAGCACCCCCCCGAGGCACGAAAAACCTCGACCCTCGACCCTCGACTCTCGAACTTCTGCTCGATGTTCGAGCCCGTCCTTGAATGGAAACGATAAAAAGAGGGGGACTGGCTCGGGAGGGCGAGACATTGGCTCGGAATCTGCGATGCATCGCCGATAAATGAGCGAGTGCCCCCCGATAGCAAGACCGCACGCCCCTGGACGGGGTGGGGCATTCAGGCCCCGATTGGCGACGAATGGGCGATTGGGTGTCGATGTTACCTCCCCCCCTTTGGCTTTTGGACCATAACTCGGGCCTCTGGCGGCCGATCGGACGGTTCGGGCATCCTTGGATTCGCTTTCTGTGAGGCACCAGATGGAAACCACCCCAAACTGTGTTTGCACTTCGGTTTTCATGCTTCTGCTCTAAAGAACTTGACCGTGTGGGCGGTCTGGTGGCTCCGTGCCGGTCGTCGCCGCCACATCGCCGCCTCGTCGCCGCCCGTCGCCTGGACCGTGTGGGCGGTCTGGCGGTTCCGTGCTGGTTTGGCGGCTTCATGCTGGCCGTCGCCGCCTCGTCGCCGCCGTTGGCTTGCAACACATAGATAGCACGAACTAAAAGTTCGCGCCTGCGGCGCGCTTTTTAAACGCACGCAACATATATTGCACCACGTATCCGTTGGACAATATTACATCGATTGCACGGAACAACCGCCAGCGGCATGTTTTTTTTGACTGGTCACAACATATATTGCGCATTGCGCCACATATATTGCACAATGTAGACTGCACCACGTAGATTGCACAACGTGCATGGTACAACCACCTGTACGTAACACCATATGGGTTGCACGACATAAGTGGCAAAACGTGTACTGCACAACGTAATTCGATTGCACCACGTAAATTCTCCTCTATGACAAGGAATTCGGATCCACTGCCCTTCCGTGTGCGGACTCTCCCCCTTGTGGGAATCTGCACCGTGTATATATATATATATATGATTCAGCCCCACCGCCAATTCTAATTATGAGTTCGTGCGATCCCAGTCAAGCCGGCATCACCCCACATCCATTGCAAACCGTACTACGCGCGCAATTCAGCTGCAGATTTTTCCAATGATCACTTGAAGAAAAAAGGAAGAAGTGCGCACGCGCGCGTCGTAAACCATAGATCTTCAACATGTTCATTTGATTATGCCAAACGTGCCTTTCGCGCGCGTGCCGAAATCATTTGAATGCCCTTGCGTACGTGTTGCGGGATACGATCCCTGTCAAACCATGCGGGCCACTCGCGCACATCGGCCGCGCGCACATGCCGAATTTTTTCCAACACCTCCATCACCGACGCGAAGACACCATCATGGTCATCGGCGTGGTTAACAGCGGCGCCGTCATTGGCCTTGCCATCGTCATTGTCAACACCATCACCAACATCGTTACTATCGTCATGTGTGCTGGTGTCGGCGTCGCCATGATACCGCTCCCGCCTTGGTCACCGATTCGCACTGATGTGCCTGCGCGTCAACGCGGCCTGCGAGACGCGCTGAGAACTCACCAGCGGTCAGCGCCACCGCGGCCGCGTCGTTCGCGCCAGACTATAGTTGGCCGCTCTGCGCGCGAGCCTGTGCACGCTAGCGCGGCCGCGCCCATTCACCAACCAGCGTCAAGCAACCATCGCAGTCGCGGCCGCATGGGTTTTTCAAACCAAGTTGCGGGCGGGTGGGCGGGGTGACTGCGGGAGCGTGTGAGGTGGCCACGCGCGAAAAAATAAAATAAATGATACATTCATCGTTCGAATAAGGAATTCGGACCACCCCCCGGGATTACCCGCCCGTTTTTTTTCGCATTGCGAATTATATGCGGTCCTGCCTCATCGCGCATTCGCAATATGAATTCATATCGCCCCAGCCCAATCGGTATCGATCCCCACCGCCATCCTCTGCACAAAACTACAACGCGCGCGCGCTCGTTCATCAATCACCACCCGTTGCAAGAACTCATTGCAAACAACGGGGCGACATGTACACGCGCACGTCCTCGTTCGCGCATTCGGGAATCCTTGAGAAACCTGGTTTCGCAAGGACTTGTGAAATCGAGCGTCCCGAACACATGTTAAACCAATGGTTTCCAACATCAGTTTTAAGATAAGAAAACATATGCACGCGCATTATTGAATAGTTTTTTCCCGACATCATTCGGACATCCTTGCGCGCCTGCTGGGAGAGGGGGGCGCGATCTCGGTCAATGGGCGCCGCGCGGGCCACTCGCGCGCGTCGGCCACAAGCGCGCGTCGAAATTGTCCGAAGCCCTCATCGCAGACGCGTGGACACCATCATCGTCATTGGCCTGATCCGTGTCGGTGCCGTCATTTGCCTTGCCGTCGTCATCGTCAACATCGTCGCTGCCATCATCAAGGTGTCTACCGTTGTCAACGTCGCCATGGTGCCGCGCCCGCCTAAGTCACCCACTCGCACAGAAGCGCCCGCGCGACAGCGCGGCATGCGAGACGCTCTGGGAACTGCCTGGCGGGTAGCGCCACTTCGGCCGCGTCGGTCACGCCAAAATAATTGGCTGGCCGCTGTGCGCGCGCATGCGCGGGCGCGGCCGCGGAGATGCGCCAGCCAGCGCCAAGCACTCGCTGCAATCGCCGCCGCATGGGCTTTGCAAGCCAAGTTGCGGGTGGGTAGGCGGGGTGATTGCGGTGTTTGCGCGAGCAGTGGAGTAGACAACTCTAAATGTTTCAAAACTAATGGCATCGCATAAAGTTTACGGCTGAAGGATTTCGGATCTACCACCCCTGGCACTATCCCCCCCGCCCTGTGTATGTGCAGTTTACACGTGACTCTGCCCAATGGTTCACTGCGCGTGCAAGCTCATCTCATCACAGCCCAGCCAGCATCGACCCCCCCTTCCCCCCCCTCACCCCTGGCCAATCATCAATTTGTAATGGCCCCCCCGGCATAAACATCGACATGAAACGCACGCGCGCGCCGTCCCGCGCGCATGCCAACATTTGTCATCACCTTCCGGCGTCATGCAATTTTTACAATCGAGTGTACCGAAACATATGAATCGCAAAAGGTTTTGGTAAAGTCTATTTCGCAAGAAACTGCGCGCGCCCTTGCGAATACCTAAGACACTTACTGATTTTCAACATTTCCATTGCATTCGGCCGGGCGGGCCTCTCTCGCGCACGTGTCGAAATCGCTCGCGCGCCCGTGCGCGTGTGTGTGCGTGTGTGTGTGCGTGTGTGTGTGTGTGTGTGTGTGTGTGTGTGTGTTTGTATGTGTGTATATGTGTGCGGGTGTGTGTGTGTGTGTGTGGGGGGGGGGGGGGGGCGCGATCCCTGTCGATGAATGCAATGCGGACCACCCGTGTCCGTCGGCAGCGCGCGCGTGTCGAAATCCCTCCGAAACCTTCATCGCCGACGCGTAGACGCCATCATCGTCAACGGCGTGATCAGCATCGGCGCCGTCATTTGCCTTGCCGTCGCCGTCGTCATCATCGTCACTACCCACTAGCATCGCGGCAATGATCATCGTGTCGGCCATTGTCGACGTCACCATGATACCGCTTCCGCCTGGGTCACCGACTCGCACTGATGTGCCCACGCGTCGGCGCGGCCTGTGAGACGCGCTGGGAACTCCCCAGCGGTCGGCGCCACCGCGGCCGCGTCGTTCGCGCCAGACTAACTGGCCGCTCTGCGCGCGAGCCTGTGCGCGCTAGCTCTGCCGCGGCGATGCGCCAGCCGGCGCCGGGCGGGCCAGAGCCCCAGGCAGGCAGGCGCCTCGCGGGCTCTACAAACCAAGTTGCGGGTGGGTGGGTGGGATGATCGCGCGAGCGCGGGAATTGGCAACTCGCTGTGAACAAAAACAAATTTTCCTGTTTAAGAGAATAATGAGATTTACCTCCCCTTCCCGGAATTAACGATCCTCTCATTGTGTATTGCAACTTACGTATGATTCTGCCCCATCGTCCATCCTAAATATGAACTCGTACCACCCCAGGCAGGCAAGAAATCCTCTCCTTCATCCTTGACAACAAAAATACAATGCGCGTGCACTCGTTTATCACGAATTACAAACTCTCAACGGCCCCCGGCAAAAAGACAAAACGAGACGAAGCGCACGCGCGCGTCGTCGCGCGCGCACGCCGAAATTCTTTCAAAACCTTCAAGATTTCACAATCGAGTATCCCGAATACAAGATTAAACAACAATAATAATATCGCAAGTCCGGTTCTCGAAAAAACTTGCACTCGCGCTCTTGCGAATTCTTAATAAAACCATTGGCTTTTCTCCAAATGAACTTACCCTAGAGGAGTCCTGGCACAAACCCATTCTACTTGGTCTGTTGCCCTTCCCCCAATTCCTATGCCGTTCCCCTAATTTCTATGGCTATGGCTATGCCTATGCCTCCCCCAACTCCTATGCCTACGCCTATGCCTATGCCTGCTTGATCGCTTGGTTGCGCGCTTGCACGTTTGATTGCATGCTTGCTTGCTTGCACGCTTGCTTGCTTGCTGACTTACGGATTCCAAGCATGCCTGATTCCTCTGATTCTTTGATTTGAATAATATAATCTATTTGGAATCAGCCTGGCTGGTACTCAACATGTTCATAACCTGCTACCAAAACGGCCTCTCGCGCTCGCCTGTCGGAATCGCAAAAGCGCCCTTGCGCGCGCGCTGTCGCAAAAACGCTTGTTAACAAAATGGGACGGAATGCGCGCGCGCGTCGTCGCGCGCGCATGCCGGAATTCCTCACAAACCTGAGGATTCGTAAAGATTTCAAACGACTGTACCCCGAGCGCATACAAAAAACATGGGTTCGCAACAACCATTATCCAAAAAACCTGCGCTCGCGGTCTTACGAATTCTTATAGACAAAAGCATGGCTTTCAACTTGGAATCTGTCAAACGGGCCTCTCGCGCCGCAGGTTGAGATTATTGAAACGCCCTCGCGCGCGTGCTGGGGGGGGGGGGGGCGCCATCCGTTTTAAATTATACTATGCGGGCCACTCTCGCGCGTCGGCCGCGCGCGCGTCGAATTCCTTCCAAAACCATCATCACAGACGCGGGGACGGCATCATCGTCGTCGGCGTGATGAACATCGGCACCGCCACTGGCGGTGCCGTCGTCGTTGTCATCATCGTCACCAACAACGCTACTATAAACATCGCGTCTACCGTTGTCGACGTTGCCATGATACCGCGCCCGCCCAAGTCGCCGACTCGCACCGAAGTGCTCGCTGGGAGATGCCCGGCGGTCAATTCCACCGCGGTCGCGTCGGTCGCGCCAAAGTAGCTGGCCGTTTTGCGCACGAGCATTCGCGCTAGCGCGGCCGCGGCGATGCGCCAGCCAGCGCCAGGTAACCCCATCGCAATCGCCGCCGCTTGGGTCTTGCAAACCAAATTGCGGTTGGGTGGGTGGGTGATTGTGCGAGCAGTGGAGTTGACAACTTCAACTTCGGCAGGATGAATTTCATCGTGTAGATTCCACCACATGAGGTGCCCCACATAGATTGCACGTAGGCTGCACGATTTTGTCTTCGCGCCTGCGGCGCGCTTTTCGACCGCTTACAACATCAATTGCACCACGTAAACTGGACGACGTAGATGGTACCACATATATTGCACAACGCAGTTTGCATCACATAGATTGCACTACATCTGCTGTGCGGCAAAAATCACACCAATCTCATTGCACAGCAGAGGTTGCTAAAAGAACACTGCTTGGGGTCCACGGTGGCTAACATGGTAGAACATACAAAATACCACGATGCCCAAACCAGGACTCCATCAGACCAGGATAAATCGGGGATCTCTAAGACCCGGCGATTCTGGAGGATGTATCGGTCGGCGCGGCTGCTCCCTAGCCCCTAGCGCTCTGCAGCGCTCTCAGAGCGTTCTGGGGCACTCTGTAACGCTTTGCAATCAGGAATTTTTGCTTAGCGTGTCGCATCGGCGGCCCCGCCGATACGCCAAGCTTTGCGAGCGAAAATCGCGTCGCTCCGCTCCACGAGGCGGGAGGCCAGGATAGGATCAGGACGTCGACGCTCGGGGACTGACTGGGGCGTGGTTGGCGTGTCGTGCCGAAGCGTGGTGGGCTGGAACAGGCAGCGCACCACGCTGAGCAAAAGTTCCCGACCGTACATCGTACAGCAAACGTGTATACCAAGGATACGCGGTAAGGATGCAAGCGCCTTGGACGCCCAAATTGAATCTCTCCTTGAGCTAAGGATTGCCTAAGGATGGGCCGGATAGGCAAGGAAGCGAGGGAATTCTGGGCATGTCGTGCGACCTTGCCGTGCGCGTTGATCTTACTCCGTTCCCAGAACGGCGTGATCGAGGACGTCGCTGCAAACAACAACCCCTTCGATTCCTGTCGTCCAGCCCCACAGCCTCGGCTTCCGAGCCGCTGCCCGCCGTATCGGCGGCAGCGGCCGGCTCCGCGCCCTCGTCGGACGCCGACGACGCGTAGCCGCCGAGCATGGCGCGGCGCGCGCGCGCGGCGCGCGCGCACCGCGGCGGCGGCGGGACTCGCCGCGGGGCGGGGGCCTGATCCGAGGTGGACAGGGGCAGGGGTGACGATGAGGATGGTGGTGGTTTAGGGGCCTCCCAGATGGGGTCGGAGGATCGCGCTGCATCGCCGATTCATCGGCGATGCATCGGCGTTGCATCGGCCATGTCGGCGTGGAGAATGCCAGGCTCCACATCGAGCCGCATCGGCGATGCAGCGCGTTCCTCCGACCCCGTCTACTCGGACCCAATCTGGGAGGCCCAGATGGTGGTGATGCTGGTTCTGATGATGGTGTCGGTCGCGACGCGAGATGGAGGGGGCGAAGGAGGTAGCAGGCGCTTCCCACCACCGACTCGGCCCGGTCTGGGCGCACAGGCGCACAGGCATGCGGCCGCCATGGCCAGGCGGTCGATCAGCGCACGTAGATGGTGATGATGAGTAACCTAAGAATGCGAACGCTTATACTACTGATCATTGTATTAGCAAGAATTCGCCGGCCCAACGGGCCAGAGGCGTGCTAAGATCTCCGGTAACTGGTTTACAATAACTCTATACTTCGCGCGCGCGGAGCGGCCCCTGGGGGTCCCCGGCCGGAAAATACCCCGGCAAGGTCCAGGGACACTCCCGGCAAACTCAGATGAGAGATGGTTTTCCTCCTGGGTGCGGCCTTCCACGCTCCCCGGAGCGCGCCAAGAGGGCCCCAACAGCCTTCCAAGACGGTCCAAGAGGGTTCCGAATCACCGAACGATCGGCCCAAGAAGCCCAACACGGCCTCAAGACGGCCCAAGAAGCTTCCAAGACGTCCCAAGAGAGCCCTGACCCTTTCCAAGAGAGCCCAAGAGGCCTCCAAGAGAGCCCCAAGACCGCCCAAGAGGGCCCCACGACAGCCCAAGAGGCGCCCAAGACGGTCCAAAAGGACCCCAAGAGGGCCCCAAGAGGGGCCCAACATGGAGACCACGAACCGAGAATCCGAGCCTTCCGCTCCAAGAGGCCTCCTGGAGGCTCCGAGAGGCCCCCAAGAGGCCCCAAAAGGCGACAAGGGGCCGAAAGAGACCCCAAGAGGCTCGACAACAACTCCCGAGAGTCTCCAAGAAGCCCTCGAGAGGCATCCAACGAGATCACAATGAACGTCCACGAAGCCTCAGAGCGCCAAAACCATTGATTTCCATTGGGTTTTTCAAGGTTTTTGGCTCCCTCGCCTTTTCGCCTTTCCGACGCTCCAAGACGGCCCAAGAAGCTTCCAAGACCACCCCAAGACGGCCCAAGAGGCCTCCAAGAGAGGCCCACGACCGTCCAAGAGAGCCCCACGACAGCCCAAGAGGGGCCCAAGACGGTCCAAAAGGACCCCAAGAGGGCCCCAAGAGGGGCCCAACATGGAGACCACGAACCGAGAATCCGAGCCTTCCGCTCCAAGAGGCCTCCTGGACACCCCAAGAGGCTCCTAAGAGGCCCCAACAAGCGACAAGGGGCCCGAATAATGCAAAAAGGACACTGCCGAATGTTGTCTTGTTCCCTGCGATCGTATTCACGAGCCGCCACCTTCCGAAACAGAAGGTTCAGGCGGGCAAATAATGGTTCCCGCCTGCGAAATCACCCAAAGCCAGCCATCCATAAACAAAAAAACTACCCAGCAACATCCCATTGACAACAATCACACGGGCACTTGACAGCCGTGCACCAATACGGGCCGGCGGAATGAGCGACACGATTAAATAATAACAATAACGGTCGCAACCAGACGACTACTACTACTTCTACTTCTCTACTACTTCTACTTCTACTTCTACTTCTACTTCTACTTCTACTTCTACTTCTACTTCTACTTCTACTACTACTACTACTACTACTACTACTTCTTCTACTACTACTATTACTACAACTACTTCTTCTTCTTCTACTACTACTATTTCTTCTTCTTCTTCTACTACTACTACTAATAGTACATCAACTCATACTACACCACCTACTACTGCTACTGCTACTGCTACTGCTACTGCTACTGCTACTACTGCTACTACTGCTACTACTACTACTACTACTACTTCTTCTACTACTACTACTACAACTACAACTACAACTACAACAACAACAACAACTACTACTACTGCTGCTACTACTACTACTGCTACTACTGCTACTACTACTTCTTATTCTTCTACTACTAGTACTACTATACTATACTATACTATACTATACTATACTGTACTATACTTTACTATACTCTACTCTACTATACTATACTACTACTACTACTACGACTACTACTACTACTACTACTGCTACTACTACTACTACTACCACTACTACTACTACTACTACTACTAGTACTACTACTACTACTACTACTATACTACTACTACTACTACTACTACTACTACTACTACTACTACTACTACTACTACTACTACTACTACTACTACTACTACTACTACTACTACTACTACTACTACTACTACTACTACTACTACTACTACTACTACTACTACTACTACTACTACTACTACTACTACTACTACTACTACTACTACTACTAGTACTACTACTACTACGACTACTACTACTACTACTGCTACTACTACTACTACGACTACTACAACAACTACTACTGCTACTGCTACTGCTACTGCTACTACTACTACTACTACTACTACTACTACTACTACTACTACTAGCACAACTACTACGAATACATATAGTGATATTATTACTTTTACTAAGAATACACATACGATTAATCTGATCATGAACAAGAGCCATACTAATAATAGTATAATAATGGCAAGAGCAAGCAATAATAAGATGGCAGAGGTGGCGGCGATGATGATCGCGGCGGAGAGGGGCGGCCTCTCGCCTGCGCGTTTGTCGTCGTCTGCTTGCTCCTCCCTCCTTTCTCCTTATGTCCGCCACCGTGCCCTGAGGCACGAGTTGGAGTGTCCTCAGGTCCCTTCGCATTCTCTGTTTTGGGTATTGCGAACATTCTCCCGAGAGCTCACAGCCCAGAGTTCTGGGCGCTCTTTGGGCGCCCTCGGGGGTTCCTCGCGTGACGGTTCGAGAGGCCAAGGGCGCTTGTTTGGGACATGCGTGTCCAACATGGTCTCATATGGCCACGAAGATCGTTCTGGAGCCCTCCTGGGCCGTCTTAGAGGCCCTAGAGGCCGGCCCAATAGGCCCAACACGTCAAAATCCAATAGTGTTCGTATGATTGTAGTATTGCCGCGTCTTCGGTCTTCAGAGCGTCCAGGTCGGCCCAGGAGGCGCCCAAGATGGTCCAAGGACGGCACACGAGCCCTAATGGGCGCCCAAAAGGCCCGCAAGACGGCCCCAAGAGGGGTCCAGTATGGGGAACGCGAACTGACATTTCGAGCCGTCCGCACCAAGATGGCCCCAAGATCTCTCCAGAGGCCACCCGAAATGCCCCCAAGAGGCCCACACCACCCAAGACACCCTCCAAAAGCCGCCTCCAGGAGGCTTCCGAGAGACATCCCACGAGATCATCACAAGGATCCACGAGACCTCTGACCTCCAACCCTAGCACGGTGGCGGGATGGGACGACGGCCACTAGATATGTGGCCTGGGCAGCACGAACTGCTCGCGAAGTTCAGGGGGTTTTGCTCAAGGGTCGAATATATCTTTTGTCCGTTGGAGTTACGGAGGCTTGGCATGGTGATTGTGATGCTGCTACTGATGACGGCGATTGCGGTGGCGGCGATGAGCATGATGACGGCGATGACTGTGGTGACGAATCTGATGATGACGGCGGAGAATATGGTGATGATGGGTATGGCGACAACAAGCTTCTATAGTAACAGTGACGAAGATGACGACGATTAAGGTGATGCTGGTGTGGTTGAGTAGGAGGAGGTGGAGGAGGAGGAGGAGGAGGAGGAGGAGGAGGAGGAGGAGGAGATGGAGGAGGAGGAGGAGGAGGAGAAGGAGGGAGGTGTAGGAGGATGCGGAGGAGGGGACGGAGGAACGTTTCAAGGCTCTTTGAAGCATCTCAGAAGGTCATCCCCTGGTCTACATGGTCGCTCCGTCCTTCACCCTGGGCGATTCCTCCTGTCGGCGGATCTGGGCTGGCCCCCTCTGAGCCCTGCGAAGACCTGCGCAGTCGCCCCGCTCCCGCTCTCAGCTGGGTGGTGCAACGCTCTCCTTCGCTGCGCCCCACAAGGGTGGGGATCCGCCCCTGCTGGGTCGCCCCACGGCTTGGGAGGTCGGGCCAGGCCCCCAGTCAGCTCTACGGCGCAGAGAAGCCGCGGGGCCGCTTCGGTAGCCGAGGGTCCACTGTCATCCTGGCCGCTACAGTCATCGCGCTGCCATAGGGGGCGCCGAATAAGAAGCAACGGGGCTTTTCTGGCTACGGCGAGCCTCGGCCACGATCAGGCTCCCCGACCTGGATCTGAGGAGCGGCCCGAGAACCATATAGAGCCTCTCCTGAGCCCGCAAAGGTCCTTATCTCAACGGCCTGACTGTACCCCTGCCCCCGCGAGGCGATGCTGCGAACTCCAGCCTCCCTGCCGCGTGCGCGACCGCGGGGGGGTCGTGCCCGTGAGCTCGTCGTCCTTCCGTTCCCCGCGACCCCCGCCGAGGCGGCCTCCGCAAGGACCACCCGCCGCTTCGCGGCGGCGTGCTCGGAGGGCCAAGCCCGCCGGGCTGGCTGACGCGGTGGTGGCCGCTGGCGCGGGCTGCTAAGAGGTCGGCCTCCCCCGGCGCAATGCCCGCGCGAGGAGCCGCCGGGGAGGCCCCTCGAGTCGATGCAGCCAGAGAGGCCCCGACATCGGACGTCAATGGCCAGCTGGGCGCAGACCAACGGCGCCAGAGGCCCCGCCATTCCCCAGGCCTTGGCGACGCGGGTCGCCGATCCTGCCGATGCCAAAGTCGTCATCTGGCGGCTGCAGTGTCGAGGCCGCGGCCGTCGTCCTCGCGGTCGCACTCGCACTCGCGGCCGCCGTCCCCGCGTGCCCTGTGCCGATCATTCTCAAGACCATGAGCCCCATGTGGTCCTTGCCCTTGACCTCGGCCAGGAGCATGGTGCCCGCCAGTCTGGCGGCCTGTCGGGTCACCTCGGTGCAGTCCTCAAGGACCAATGCTTCGTCCTGGCTGGCGCGGGCCAGCTCTGCCCGCTGCCTAGCCAGCGTGGCGACGTGCATGTTCCCACCGGGAAGCAGCTGGGCCATCCTTCCTTAGCGGACTGCGTCGGTCCCAAAGTGTGGCTTGTCTTCGATCATCTGCACGCCCTCCAACTTGTCCACCTATCCCGTCCAGAATATGTCGGTGCAGACTTGGGAAACCGCGGCCTGGACACGAGACTGGGTGCATCGCCAGGTGGCCAGGCAGTCGATGTGGAGCTTGTAGTGGCCGCCGAAGTGGTCTGGCACCATTTTGGCCGCATGCACCGCGCCATCGCGGGGCAACTGGTCGGGGCTAGCGTCCAACAAGACGCTCCCCCCACGCTTCCCCCACTAGGCTCACTTGTGCGTCGAAGACCGCTGCTCTACCGCCCGCAGTGCCGCGCCGTGGGTGGTACCAGTTCGTGCCTAAGCTGTCGGCAGAGGCAAGACTGCCATCCTCATTTTGCCACGGTGTGCCGGTCACGCGAGGCGCTTCATGGAAACGCTTCGCACCCCACTCGAATAGATCGCTGGGTGACCAGCCCAACTGCTCCAATGGCCCGGCCGCCGTGCGTGCGCCATCGCACCGACAACGCATGTGGAACAAAATGCCCTCGCTGTGCTGGTGGCTGGCACCGGGTGGTGATGTAGGCCTCCTCGTCGCTGATCCGCTGCTGGCACCACTGGGTGGGCTGGATCAATGCTCTGAGCGCCTTCGTTGATGCGTGCCCCAGGTGTGGGACATCTGGTGGAGCAGGTACACGACAGGCCTCCTCAGCACCGAGATGGGCTAAGGGGAAACGTGAAAGGGGGGCAATACAAAGAGGAGGATGAGGACGAGGAGGGGGAACGGCGAGAAGAGGGAGGGGGATCAGGATAGCGGGGGAGGAAGAGAACGCGCAGACATTGTTGCACCGCCAGCGGCCGAACGCAGGCCCGCTCCCCTGCGGCGCCGCCTTCGGCTGGACGCATGAGCTCGCGATGGACCGCCGAGCCGCCTGCAAGGGTGAAGGGAGGGCCGCGGCGAGAGGGGTGGGTGGGGCGAGGGAGGGGCTCGGGGAGCAGGAGGGCGCAAGAGCAGAAATAGCGGCGGGGCGAGGCGAAAGGAACGGGGGAGCGGAGGGACGGGAGGAGAGGAATGGGGACGCAGGCGGGGACAACTTGAGGGACGGAGCATGTGATGAATTGCGCGAGTGTGTTTAGTGGCACATCTATGTATGTATGTATGCATGCATGCATGCATGCATGCATGTATGCATGTATGTATATGTGTATGTATGCATGCATGTATGTATGTATGTATGTATGCATGTATGTATGTATGTTTGTATGTATGTATGTATGTATGTATGTAGGTATGTATGCATGTATTCTTGTATGTATGTGCGTATGCATATATGTATGTTTGTACGTCCGATGTTTGTATGTATGTATGCATACATGTATATATGAATGTATGTGTTTATGCACGCATACATACATGCATGCATGCATGTATATACACACATATATATATATGTATGCACGTGTGCAGATCTACATATATGTATATACGCATGCTTGCATGCGTGTTTATGAACGTATGTATATTTGCATGTGTGTCTGCATATATGTACACATGTGTGTATGCATGCATGTATGCATGCATATATGTATATGTATATATGTATGTACGTATGTATGTGTATATGTAGGTATGTACGTATGCGGGTATGTATGTATGCATGTATGGCTGTATGTTTGCATGTATGTATGGCGGTATGTATATATGTGTTTATGTATGTATATGTATGTGTGTTTGCACGTATTTATGTTTGTATGTGTGTATATATATATAGATATCAGAGTCAGGGGGCCGAACGCTCATTCTTTGTTCCCGGGAGCGTGGCTGAAATGGGGATCCGCGGGGAGGATTCTGCTTGTTGTTGTTGTCGTCGTCCCCCCCCGACCCGCCCGCGACCCACCCGCGACCCACCCCGCGACCCACCCCACGACCCACCCCGCGACCCACCCCGCGACCCACCCCGCGACCCACCCGCGACCCACCCCGCGACCCACCCCGCGACCCACCCCGCGACCCACCCCGCGACCCACCCGCGACCCACCCCGACGACCCACCCCGCGACCCACCCCGCGACCCACCCGCGACCCACCCGCGACCCATACGCGACCCACCCCGCGACCCATCGGCGACCCGGCCCGCGGCCCACCCCGCGACCCACCCCGCGATCCACCCACATTGCTTTAACGAAGAAATCGGCGCCTACGGCGGGCTCACTGTATAATTTGTCAACGTTAGGCGCCTGCGGCGGGCTTCTTCAGAGCCTCGCAGACTGACGACGTCCTCGCCGCCCCCTCACTTTTATCCGCAACTGCGGGGTGCTACGTATTGCATTGTATGATGAGTTGCGCGAGTGTGGCATCATCTTCCTGGGGGCATCGATTAGCTGCTCCTCTTGAGATCTGTGCGTCGCATCCCTTGTCATGCTCTTCAAATTCCCCCAATGTCCTCTGTATTCGCGCTTGACGCTATTCCATGTCCTTGAACATGGAATGGTGCCAACACATGCACGTTGTTGATTCAACTCGTGGAACCGACAAGTGTCGTCCAAACAAGCCTCCCTATAACAAGAGCCTGAAACAGTTCACTGAGGGCCCGGCAAGAAAACTTGGACACATAGTTCTGCAACAACCAGGGATTGCCCTGGCGGGGGACATTCCATGTATCCAAGGTCCCCATCGCCCGCGGCTACTGGACGAGGGGAGAGAAGGAATACGTGTAATGCCCCCCCAACACACCTGGGCTATTCGCCTTTCTGGCAGGGTGCTTGCCATTGGAGGACGGGGTTGCAAGAGAACGAGCAAGATCATGAACTGCCAATGCTGGTCGCAGAGCGCGATGCCCGCCGCGATGCTGCCAGACGGGTTCAGCCATCGTGCTATCATGAGGAACGCCCAGCGAGGAGCGAATTTGCTCTTCTGGGCAACGGCGAACCTCTGCCGCGAAAAGGTTCCGAGACCTAGATTTCAGAAGCGGCCCGAACTCCATTCCTGACTCTTTCCCACGCCATCCCCCCCCTCCCTCCGCGAAAGTGGTGCTTTCCTGCCACTGTGTCCTGCGCGCTGCCGACGTCCTAGACATCTGGCGATTGTGTGTTCTTCAACCCGCGGCCCCAGCCCTCCCGACCATTTCCCCAGAGGCAGTTTCAAGTCGGTCGTGTCCCCTGCAGGCGGATTTTGAGCGAAACATGCAATTACTCGACGCGGATATCCCCTACTTACATGTGCATCTCACAGTGATGGCAAACTTCGGTAGAAGACATTGTCCTTTCAATATCCGAGTGTCAGCGAATCCACGTGGAAAACGACGCCGAGAGAGACGCCGACGACTACGACGACTTTAAATACTTGCTTCCTCCTTCCGTCCTCCAACTTCTCCTCCGTGTCCTCCTCCTCTTTCTCCTCCTTTCCCTATGAACACCTGCCACGAAATCCATCAGTGAAAACAAAAACAGGCCCGTGCAATACCCCCTGGCGCCCCCCCCCCTAGGGAGTGCTGAAACCAGCGCCTCGACTGAGACATCCGCGGAAACTGCTCCGAAAGAGAAGGATGTTGAGCACCCAAACAAGCAAACCGCCTGAGACATCCACCCAATCTGGGCGCGAACGGGCCCGTGCAATACCACCTGGCGTCCCCCCTTGGGAACGCTGAAACCAGCGCCTCGCCTGAGGCATCCTCGGACACTATTCCGAAAGAAAAGGACGTTGAGCACCCAAACCAACAAACCGCCTGAGACATCCCCCCAATCTGGGCGCGAACGGGCCCGTGCAATACCCCCTGGCGCCCCCCCCCTAGGGAATGCTGAAACCAACGCCTCGCCTGAAGCATCCTCGGAAGCTGCTCCGAAACGGAAAGAAGTTGAGCTCCCAAACCAGCAAACCGCGTGAGACATCCCCCAACGCTGGGCGCGAACGGGCCCGTGCAATACCCCCTGGTGCCCCCCCTCCCCTAGGGAGTGCTGAAACCAACGCCTCGCCTGAGACATCCTCGGAACCTGCTCCGAAAGAGACGGATGGTGAGCACCCAAACAAGCAAACCGCCTGAGACGTCCCCCGAATCTGGGCGCGAACAAGCCCGTGCAATACCTCCTGGTGTTCCCTGTTCCCCCTTGGGGGTGCTGAAACCAACGCCTCAAACATCCTCGGAACCTGCTCCGAAAGAGAAGGATGTTGAGCACCCACACAAGCAAACCGTCTGAGACATCCCCCCAATCTGGGTGCGAACGGGCCCGTGCAATATCCCCTGGCCCCTCCCCCCCCAGGGAGTGCTGAAACCAGAGCCTCGCATGAGACATCCTCGGAAGCTGCTCCGACAGATAAGGATGTTGAGCACCCAAGCAAGCAAACCGCCTGAGGATCCCCCCCCAATCTGGGCGCGAACGGGCCCGTGCAATAACCCCTGGCGTCCCCCCATGCTGAAACCAACGCCTCGCCTGAGACATCATCACAACGTGCGTTTGAGTCTGAGCGTGGAAGTGTGGTGGCTGAGTCTGAGTGAGGAAGTGCGAGGCAGAGTATGAGTGATTCTTAGTGTGAATGAGTCTGGATGTCGGTGAGTCTGAGTATGAATCTGAGTGAGTGTGAGTGTGAGTGTGTGCGTGTGTGTGTGAGTGACCTAAGTCTGATTAACCTTGCATATGCGAAGCGACTCGACATGCGAGTGAGTCTGTATGTGAGTGATCCCGGGCATGGGAACCCTGAGTATCAGTAGGTAATATCAGAGCGAGTTCATCTGAGTACGAGTGAGTCTGAATATGAGTGAGTCCACATGTGAGCGAATCAGAAATACTGATGACCTGAGGGTGGGAAGTGGGTTCCTTCCTTCCTTCCTTCCTTCCTTCCTGTGTTCCTGTGTTCCGCGCTGTCTCAGTAATGATTATTCACTGCGTGTAGCTCCCCATACGTGCATGTACTTGCATGGACTGGGTGTGAGAGTCTGAGTATGAGTATGATGAGAACGAGTCTGAGCGCAAGTGAGTCTGGGACATCCTCGTAATCTGCCCCCCCTGGGGTGCGAACGCCAGTGCGTCTGAGTATGAGTCTAGTGAGTACGAATATAAGTCTGAATGGGTCTGAGTACGAGTGAGTTTGATCACGAGTGAATATGAGGGTGGGTGGGTCTGAGTGTGAGTGATTCTGAGCGTGAGTAAATCTGAATGTGAGTGCGTCTGAGTACGAGTATGATGGATATGAAACTGACCATGAGTGGGTCTGAGTACGAGTGAGTCTGACTGCGAATGAGTCTGAGGGTGGCTGGGTCTAAGTGTGAGTGAGTCTGAGTGTGCGTAAGTCTGGGGGCGAGTGCGTCTGAATATGAGTATGATGAGTGCGAGTCTGAGTATGAGTGAGCCTGAGCACGAGTGGGTTTGAGCATAAGTGAGTCTAAGACATCCTTGCAATCTGGGCCCTCTGGGAGTACGGAAATCAGCGCCTCGCCATAGACATCCTCAGAATCTGCTTTGACAACAAACGAGTCTGACCACCAAAACATACAAACCGCTTGAGACATCCTCGAAATCTGCCCCCCCCCCCCCCCCTGGGGTGCGACAACCAGCGCCTCGCCTGAGACATCCTCTGAATCTGATCCGAAAGCGGAGGATGTTCGCAACCAAACCAGGCAAACCGCCTGAGGCATTCCCACCATTTGGGCGCGAACAGAGGCCGTGCAATACCCCTGGCGGTCCCTCCTTAGGAGTGCTAAAACCAGCAAGCCGCCTGAGACATCCTCAGCATCTGCTCCGAAAGCGGAGGATGTTCGCAACCAAAACAGGCAAACCGCCTGAGACATCCCGACCATTTGGGCGCGAACGGAGGCCGTGCAATACCCCTGGCGCCCACCCCCCTTAGGAGTGCTAAAACCAGCAACCCGCTCGAGACATCCTCATCATCTGCTCATCGTCATCATCAACATCATCATCATCACCATCATCATCGTCATCGTCATCGTCATTTTCTTCATCAACATCTTCATCTTCATCTTCATCATCATACTCATCCATCATTCACCATCATACTCACATCATACTTTAACCATACCATGGTCATCATCATGACGATCATTATCATTGTTTAGTGCAGAGAGGGAGGAGGGGAGGGGTGGCCCGGCGCGGTCGGAGAAAAACAATAACCCCATCCTTTGGATATGGGGAACAAAAGACACATGTTAGGATATGGGGGAAATGCCCCCAAAGTGCTCAACAATTGTTAAACAATAGTCGAAACCTCGTCCTAGACTATTTTTGGCAATTGAATATTCCTCCTGTAGAAGGACATGCCCGACTTAAGGGTAGGTTCTCATCCTTTATCTGTTTTTGATAGTCCCTGGGCCCGAAAACGGCCCCCAAGATGCCGTAATAGAGGAAGCGCGCCCGGATGGACAGCAATCAATACTTCGGGCGTCTGGGAAATGCCCCTTGCCGGGTACCCGTCTTGGTGGCGCTGATGGAGGCGGAGGTTAGTGAGTGCCCATTACGATGCCTGGAAGATCCTGGACCCAGGATCGGCTTGGCCAAGATCGGTCAGTTGACGTCCCCCGAGGGAAGGAGGAAGACGACAGGAGAGGGCGGCAGAGGGCAACGACCAGGCCCATGGTTCTCTTTGTGCTGTCGGGCCTTTGGCTCCAGACTGGAGGGGTGACGAACAGGGCGAGAAGGAGTTTCGCTAGAGACATACTTGCAAAATGGGGATGTCGCGAGCGACGTTGGTTCTCCAACATGTGGCTTTCGCCTGAGATATCTTCAGACAGCTGAAATGTTGAGATCGGGCATCAGATATCCAACAAGGTGTCGCCAGGGGCGTTTCGCCTCGGATATTAGAGGAGTTGTTGGAGCAACGTTGGTTCTCACATATGGAGCTTTCGCCTGAGGCATCCTCAGAAAAAATGAGGTGTTGGAGATCGTGCGTCGGACATCCAACATGGTGTGTGTGGGGGTCTCGCGTGAAAAATCCTGGTTTTAAACAGTGACAATATTGCACTAGACATCCTCAGAACATTAAGATGTTGAGCTCGGGCGTTGGATATCGAACTTGGTGCGGGGCGTTCAGCTGCAGACATCATCAGACAAAAATATATGTTCAGCGAGCTTCCGAATTCGACGTGCCTTCAAGAGCTTGGCTCTCGTCTGAGATCTCCTCACACATGGAGGCATCACCAACGAGACTGGCAACACATGTTTTGACTTCATTTCCTTCCTGGGTTGGTTGGTTGCTCAAACTTCAAAACGGGTTCCTGGGAAACCCCGACCCTCCCAGGGGCCGGCTTTTCATCGTCACTGCCTTTCTGACGCCCCCCAAGGGCCCGGCGAGGGCCTCCAGGAGGCCGACAACGACGAATAAACATCCGCTTGGATCTCTTTGAAACGCAGGATGTTTGGGGATGGCGAGAGCGGAGGAGGGCACAGGGCGGGAAACAGGACATGAGCCGGTGTTGGTGCAGGGCCCTCTTGGTGTCGGTGTCGGAAGGGGTTGTTGTTGCTGCTGTTTCTGTTGCTGCTGCTGATGATGAAGATGGTAACGATGCTTCTGCTGATGATACTGCTGCTGCTGCTTGTGATGTTGATGATGATGCCGATGTCGATACTGATGATGATGATGAGGATGATGGTGATGATTATGATGCTGATGTCAACGATAATGGTGATGCTGATGCTGATGATAATGCTGCTGATGATGTTGTTGCTGAGGATGCTGATGATGAGGATGATGATGATGATGGTTATGGTGATGATGATGAAGCTGATGATGAAGATGACGATGATGATGACAATGTTGTTGGTGATGGTAATTATGATAATGATGCTGCTGCTGGTGATGATGGTGATGTTGTTGTTGCTGCTGATGATGCATATGAGGCAAGAGGATAATGAGGATGATGCTGGTGATGCTGCTGCTGATGATGATGAGGAGGAAAAAGAGGAGGAGGAATCACGAGAGGAAGGAGGATGATGAAGAGGGGGATGAGGAGGAGTAATGATGATGCTGATGATGATGTTGGTGATGATGATGACGATGCTGATAACAGTGCTGATGCTGACGACGATGATGCTCCTGCTGATGATGATGAGAATGATGATGAGGATGAGGAGCAGGAGGAACAGGAGGAGAAGAAATTTGATGAGGAGGAAGCAGGAGGAGGGATGAGGAGGAGGAGGAAGAGGAATACGAAGAAGAATACCACGAATAATACTACTACGAATAATTATAATAATAATAATGATAATTAAAATTAATGATACTACTACTAATAATAATACTAAGAAGAAAAAGAATAATAAGAAGGATGAGGAGGGAAGATGAAAGACGGATGAGGGATGAGGGAGGAAGGAGGAGGGAGAAGGGGTGAGGGAGGGGTGATGAAGAGGATGAGGATGACGATGACGAGGAGGAGGAAGATGAGGGGACGGAGACTAATGAAGAGGAGGAGGAGGAGGGGGAGGGCGATGAGGCGGAGGAGGAGGCGGAGAAGGAGGAGGAGCGAGAGGAGGGTCAGGGGGAGGATGCGGATGAAGGGGTGGAGGATGAGGGGAAGGATGACGATGACGATGCTGTGGAGGAGCAGGAAGCGCAGGATGAGGGGGGGGCGGAGCGTGACGAGGAGGGATGCTGATGGTGATGCTGCTGATGATGATGATGATGATGATCCCCTCAGCTTCTGGCCGCGGTGCTTCTGGCCAACAGGGCGCGCAGCGCAGTTGAGCGCTTTGCGAGCAGACGGGCTCTGGCATCGACGGCGCGCCGCGCCGCAGTTGCCGAGGCGGCAGCGGCAGTTCTAATTTGATTAAAAGCAGCGGGCGTGAGATCGTGAAAGGTGGCAATGGAGAGGGGGCAACCAGTTGCAGACACTGGCGCGCGAGAGAGAACAATGCGATATTCGGCCGAGAGTTCGGACCACGACAGAGGCAATGAGCGCAGATGATTGGCGGCAGCGGAGGCTAATATAGGACAGATCATGTAGTGGCGAAGGTCATCTCCGCCAACTGCATTGCATCCATCTCTGCACGTTTGACATCCCTGCCGAAATCTGCGGGATGTGCACCAAGCGTTACACAAACTTCTGAGCACGGCACAAGTTACGAAAGTCGGGAGATGATGACTTATCACGCCTAACCGAATTGCACACACATCAGCGTCATGCATGTTAGCATCAGAAAGCAGGAGGAGAATACGACGGAAGAGAGGAGGCAAGAGCGAGGGGGCAGGGAAAGACGCACGCAAGAAGCAAGAAATGAGCCTTTGGAGATCAAGCCTAGCTACATCAGGAATGCGACGATGAAAATTGGGCAGGCAACAAATATGATTATATTGCTATAGAGTTGATGGAAGATCGAATGTTTAAATAAGGGGTGATGTTCGAATGCCGCGCGGTGCTGGGGGTCGTCGCGGATATCCTCAAGCCTTTCAACAAAGTGATGATAGATGGCGGACTTCTGGGCACAACGAAACATTGCAGCGCGCCCTTCGACCTCGAGACGACGTAGTTGAGGAAGACCTATGAGCTCTGCACTTTCCAGCATCTGACTAGTAATTGCAAATCGCGGTGCGGCTGTCAGCAGCTGTGCACTTTCACGTATTGTTTTAAAGACGGCAGGCGTGGGCATGCAGAACTGTTGGATGTGGCTAAGGACGGTGGGGCCAATCAGGTTATATGCAGCAATGTTCCTGACGAGCCCGAGGTTAAGCGAACGAATGTGATGACAACGACTGCGAAGCTTCTCGGCTGGTGCTTTCCAGGACCAGATATGGGAGTCTGCGCCCACGAATAAACCCAGATACATCCCACGGTCCAGAATCTTAAAACGACTGACGTTGACGCCGATCTCCCCGAACGATTTTCTGACCTCCACGGCGGATTTCGGCCCGAGGAAAACTGGCGCACACGTGCCAAGGTTCAAGCATAGCCCGCTGGACCTATCAATCTGCACAAACGCGCGCAACGCCGTCGGCAGTATCTTAAAGAGATCCGCTGCGGCGAGACCCGTATCGTCAGCATAAGCGGTAAGACAAGCATCTTGGTGAATGAGGGGGCGCTGGAGGTAACGAAGGAGAGGATCGGCGACGATGGCGAAAATGACCCCCGAAAGCGGGCGCCCCTGCTTGATCCCGCGGCCGATGGAGTACCCCTCGTACGTGCGACCCCCGAACCGAATGTTAGTGTAGAGGTTATTGTACAACGCGTCAACGGCGTCCAGGAGGGGTTGCGGAACTTGGGCAACTCTTAAAACCTGTTTTATGAATTAATGGGCAATGCTCGGGAATGCCGCCTTAATATCGAAAAGGGGCGTACCCAGCGTTTTGACAACCATAAGCGGTGCACCACAGAATGGCTTCAGTATTCAACTGAATGATGTTGTCAACGAGGGAACGCCCTTTTACGAAACCTCTCTGGAAGCCAGCAACAGCTACCTGCGCGTGCGCTGTGAAGGGCTGCGAGACAGCGGAGGCGACGAACTTATTGCAAGTGTCCGAGAGCGCGATGGGCCTCGTGTCAGACGGCTGCTTGAAGACAGCAGCATCATTGGTGGGCAGGTCGCCCTTCGGGAGCAGCACGGCATCCGAGTAGTTAAAGTTCTGGGCGATGGGCCCTCGAAACAGAACGGCCTGATACATGGCGAATAAGGCTTCGACTGCTATCGGACCACCAAAACGCCACGCGGCGTACGGGGTGCCATCAGGCCCCGGGGCACCGGAGCGACGGGCGGCAACGAGGCCCCCGAAGGAACCGAGCGACAGCGGACGAAAAACAGGGCCCCAGGGAATAACCAAGTCGTCCATAGCAGTTAAGTCCTCGGTCCTAACGTCCACAGCAGCATGCACCTGACCCCAGTGATCACGGAGTTTTTGAATGGCCTCCTCAGGGTCTTGAATCGGATGACCCTCGGGATCCAAAACGCACCCGAACGAAACCTTCTTGTTTTTCGGGGACCACGCAGCCTGCATCTAGGAAAATTGGGCGGCCCTGGCCGCCTTTGCACCTGCGGGGGCCTCGGTGGCCTCAGACTCCTTCAGCAACTGATCTAGGTTGTCATGGGAGAGCTGACCTAAGAGCAAGTGGAAGCCCTCTAGGTCCACCCACATGTGGGACTCGACGTCCACATACTGGTTGATGACCTCAAAAGCACGAGCCGCACGACGAAGAATCTGAAAGTCCCCCTTCCTCATAGCTCGCAGTGCAGCCAGCGTCCAGGCGATTTTTTCAGGGGTGGTGGTGGCCCTCTTTCTCTCACATTCAGCTTTAACCATTCCAGAAGCTCCAAAAAAAATATCTTTGGTCATAGACAGACGAACGTCAGCAGGATACATGTGCGGCTTGTACTTTTCGGCTAACTCTCCAACATATAAGGCGAAAGACGGATGCCTGCGTGTCCATTCGGGCAGCGACGGCTTGGCCTCGTGGCCGACGGGCAGCAACTTGGCAAAGACTGGAACGTGGTCACTCGGAAACTTAAGATCTGTCACCTGCTGGAGGATACTGGAGTGTGGAGCGCGGTCAAGTAGTTCGGAGGTAAACATGTTAGTGTAGATGCGATCCAATCTTGCCGTGGAATCCAGCATGCTAAGATGTGTAGTGCGATGTGTATGGTGTACCTGGTCAATCTCGGAGAACTGTGTGAACACGTTACTGAATAATTCACCTAGTCCATGCGAGTGATCAGAGAAGTGGCCATCCATATGCACGCGAGACTCGCCAGCAGCACTGAAATTGAAATCACCTCCGAACCAACATGTAGAGACAGAGCGGGGTAGGATACGATGGGCAATAGCGCGCAGTGTCTGCTTCTTGAAAGTGAGGGAGAGCATGGGCACGAGATGCAAATTTACGATTTGAAGACCCCCTTCTCCTCCCTGAGCGCTCAACATCAATATTCTCCCTTCCTGAATATGAAGCGGCTCAATGGTCTGGAATCTGCGTGCGAGAGCTTTCCTGACCGCAACCACGACGCCCCCAGCCGTGTGGTCATCACAGAACGAACCACAGAAACTAAAAGCGGGCTGTTCACCCATGAGATATTGTAAATCAGCCTCGGTCCCGTGAGACTTCTGAATCAAAACGATATCATGTCGACCCAAGAGGGTCTTAAAAAAGGCGATACCTAGACAACTGCTTCCAGTGTTTTCCGAAGACGCTCCCAACATGACCAGCGGAATTCCAGCTCGCTATACTGAATTTGTCAGAAGGCAAAAACGGCTGGGACGAGGTGCGCCCCATAGCAGGACATGGCGGCGGGGGGGGGGGGGGACAGGCAACCGCCAGAGAGGGAAGACGATTCACGCACGCCTGCCTGCGGTTCCACCGCAGACTCATTACTCCTCTGTTGAAGTACAGGACGATGTCAGTGTATGTTCTGCATCGGGCCGTTCGTTTGCTCTGGGGAGATGCCAAACCACTCCAAGTCACTGCGATGGGGAACCACCTCCTTGCCAGACGTCGTGTTCTTCACCTTGAACAGCTCGTATGCGCGGGCCTCCGCACCTTCACCCATTTTGGCGAACAGCACGCCGAGGTGCGGGTTGACGCCTAGTTTGCCGCCAGCGAAACGCCCGCTAGCCACCAGACATGCCAAAGTCGGTTCCCACAGAGGCGATAGCTGCCTCTTCTTCTCACGAATGTGAGCTGGTTGATCTCGCCGTATGCGTAGCGCATGAGACATATTGGTTGAGCGGTCCAGCCGTTTGATTTCCTGCCCCGACCACAGAGTGTAAAAGTTGGAGCATATCGTCTGGTCCTTGAATGCAAGCGAATAGCTCATGGACAAATTGTGCGCAATGACGGTGACGTTCCGTGCATCTGCTCCAAGGGAGTCCTTCATCAGTTCTGCGTGAGCTGCCAATGCCGTTCTGAGCATCTTGTAGGGGAAGCAGCCGATGTGCAAGCGCAGCGGGTCGCTCTTGTCGCGCGCTGCGCTGCCAGACGAAGCAGCCGTGGATGCTGCCGAAGCAGTGCCCAGACTGCGAACACTGCCCTCGTCGTCAATGAGCTTCCGCAACTTCGAAACCTCCTCCATGCATTCTTTGTACTTTGCGTCGACCTTTTCGTCGATGTGTTGCAGAGAAGATGTGACCTGCGGCACCCAGTTGCTCAAGTCCTGCAGTGCTTTGTCTGTGGCCACAGCTCGTTTGTTAGCTTCCTCTTGTGCTGCGGTCATGGTGACCATCATCTGCTTCAGCTCAGCGAACATAGCTTCGGCCATTGCTTCAGAGGAGGCGGAGCAAAACGCGTTGCCCTAACACTGTCACTCCAAAGGCGCGTGCTGTGGTGCACGTCTGTTCGGAACGAGGTCCTGGCCTCGGGAAGCTCGAGCCTCCCCGTCGGCAGCGACCATGGACCAAACCCCAGGGACAGGTTTGAGCCTTGAGCCAAAATGGCTACGGATGATGATGATGATGATGATGATGATGATGATGATGATGATGGTGGTGATCATGCTGCTGATGCTTATGCATATAATGAGTACGATGATGATGCTGATGCCGATGTTCATGCGGTTGCTGCTGATGTTGTTGTTAATGATAGCGATGCTGATGCGGAGGATGCGGATGATGATGGTGGTGATGATGATGACAATTCGGCTGCTGCTGACGATGGTAACGGTGACTACGATTAGGATGATGATAGTGGCGATGCTGACTCTGATGCTGATTATGAGGATGATGATGCTGATGCTGGCGATGGTGATAATGATGCTGTTGCAGCTGATGAGGTTGATGTTGCTGATGATACCGATGTCGATGCTGAGGTTGCTGATGCTGCTGATGATGTTGGTGATGTGGAAGAGGATGATGAGGATGCGGAGGCGGATAATGAGGAGACGGAGGATGAGCAGACGGAGGAGGAGGATGAGGAGGAGGATGAGGAAGATGCGCACGAACAGGAGGATGAGAAAGAGGAGGATGAGGATGATGAGGAGGAAGCGGAGGAGGAGGATGCGGAGAAGGAGGAAGAACACGAATAATACGAGGAGGATGAGCGCGACAATGAAGAGGGGGAGGAGGATAATGATGACGAGGAGGAGGATGATGAGACGGATAAGGCGCAGGCGGAGGGGGACAGACGATGCCGAGGATGAGGAGGGCGAGGCGGATAAGGAGCAGGCGGAGGGGGAAAGAATATGCCGAGGATGAGGAGGACGAGGCGGAGGAGGAGGACGAGGAGGAGGAGGAAGAAGATAAGGAAGAGGAGGAGGAGGAGGCGGAGGAGGAGGGGGAAGAGGAGGAGGAGGAGGAAGGAGAGGAGGAATAGGAGGAGGAGGAGCAGGAGGAAGATGAGGAGACTGAAACTGAGGATGAGGAGGCGGAATACTATGAAGGGGAGGGGGAGGAGGAGGAGGAGGAAGAGGAGGAGGACGAGGAGGAGGATGAGGAATACGCATATGAGGATGAGGCGGAGAAGGAGGACGATACTGATTATGAGGAGGACGAGGAGGAGGAGGAAGAGGAGGAGGAGGAGGCGGAGGAAGGGAACGAGGAGGATGATGAGGATGAGGAATCGGAGGAGGAAGCACCACCACACCTTTTTGGAGCGCGCCGAGACAGGAAGTGGGGAACTTTACGACGATTCGGAACGGCGACCCCGCGCGACTCGACGATGAAAAGGGTAACCCACTCAAACGAATTACCGACGACGACGCCAACCGAACGCATTCTCGGGCACATGGAGAGGACGGGGATGGCCCGTCCACTCCCCCGAGGTGAGATCCTTACCAACCTCGGGGGATTTCAAATACGTACTGTCCTTGCTGGGTAAATGGCCCAAACACTCACCTCAGAGACGGAAAGAAAGGCCGTCGGCTGGGCCCGCGCACCACAGCGGCGGCATAATGCACGGGTGCTGCCTAGCAGGGGGCGATGACCACGAGCAGACTCGGGCTCACCAAGGCCCTCAACAAGGAGGGTGTGGCCGGGCGGGGCTACCTCCCGAGCAACCCAGGACGCCTCCCCGCAATGGAAGATGAGGAGGACACGGAGGCGGAGGAGGAAAAGGAGGCGGACGAGGAGGATGAGGAGGAGGGGGGGGGACTGCTGAGGAGGATGATGCTGCGGATGAGGATGCGAATGAGGAGGACGAACATGAGGATGATGCTGATGATGCTGCTGATGATGGTGGTGATGATGATGCTGATGATGCTGATGATGCTGCTGCTGATGATGATGATGATGAGGACGAGGATGATGATGAGGATGCTGAGGGATAATAGGATGCGGAGGAGGAGGACGGATCCTAATACGATGATGCTGATGATCATGTCGCTAACGATGATGGTGCTGATGATGATTATGATGATGATGATGCTGCTGCTGCTGATGATGATGATGATGATGATGCTGATTGTGATTATGATGATAATTGTGCTGCTGATGCTGCTGGTGGTGCTGCTGATGATGCTGCGGGTGATTATGCTGCTGATGCTGATGCTGCTGATGATGATGCTGCTGATGATGCTGCTGCTGATGTTGCCGATGATGATGATGATGATGATGATGATGCTGATGATGATGATGATGATGATGCTGACGATGCTGATGATCACGATGATGCTGTTGATGATGATGATGATGATGCTGATGATGATGATGATGATGATGATGATGATGATGATGATGATGATGAT